CCAGTTTGTGGTTCTTTGTTATGGTAGTCCTAGGAAATAAATAAAGAAAGGAAGGTGAGGGTAGAAATGGACTGGGAAGGTGAAAAAGGAAACTTTCTTGGATGATGTTTTTCTATAAAAATTATGCATATACGATCTTTGGATACTATATACCCATCCACCACCCATTCCTTCTGAGAATCGTCAGTCTGTTCGTCATGCCTCTGGCTCTGTTATTCATCAGTTTATTTTCTTCATTAGATTTCTTGTTTATTCATTTTTTTTTAAGATTCAATTGTTGGTAGATATGTATTTATTCCATTTTATTGTGTCTCCTCCTCCTCCTCTTCTTTTTCCTTCTCCTCCTCCTTCTCTTGCCCTTTTGTTTTCATCTTCTTCCTCTTCTTAAAGAATACTCTTCAACATTTAATGCAATACTGCTGGTATTGAACTCCTCTAGCCTTTTTTTGTCTGTGAGGCTCTTTATCTGACTTTCAATTCTAAATGCTAGACTTGCTGCGTAGAGTATTCCTGGTTGTAGGTCCTTGCTATTCATCATTTAATATTTCTTTCCAATCCCTTCTGGCCTGCAAAATTTCTGTTGAGAAAACAGCTCACAGTCATATGGGTGCTTCCTTGTTGGTAACTAACTGCCTTTCTCTTGCTGCTTTTAAGATTCTCTCTTTGTCATTAACCTTGGCATTTTAATTATGTGTCTTGGTGAGGGCCTCTTTGGGTTTCCCTTGTTTAGGACTCTCTGTGCTTTCTGGACTTGTAAGTCTGTTTCTTTCACCAGCTGGGGGAAGGTTTCTGTCATTATTTCTTCAAATAGGTTTTCAATGTCTGGCTCTCTCTGTTCTCCTTCTGGCACCCCCATAATGCAAATGTTGGTAGGCTTAAAGTTGTCCCAGAGGCTTTTTACACTATCTTCATTTTTAAACAACTTCTTCTTCTTCTTCTTCTTCTTCTTCTTCTTCTTCTTCTTCTTCTTCTTCTTCTTCTTTCTTCTTCTTTCTTCTTCTTCTTCTTTTCTCTTCTGATTGGGTGTTTTTTTTTTTGCTTCCTCATATTCCAAATCATTGATTTGATTCTTGGAATCTTCTATTCTACTTTTGAATTCCTGTAAATTATTCTTTATTTCAGTCAGTATATGCTTAATTTCTGACTGGTTTTTATGTCTTTGACATTCTAAGATCCTTGAAAGTTCCATTAAGTCCCTTGAAGTTCTCACTGAGTTCCTTGAAGCTCTCATGGAGATCCTTGAGCAACATTATAACCATTGTCTTGAACTCTGTATCCAGTAGTTTGCTTCTGTTCTTTCATTTCTGACATGTTTCTTGGTTCCTGCATTTTGGCAGCTTTCCTGTATTTGTTTCTGTGTATGAGATAGATCTGCTATGTCCTCTGGAATTGGTAGAGAGGCCTTGAATAGTAGGTGCCCTGTAGGGCCCAGTGGCTCAGCCTCTTCAGTACCTGGGCTGGGCACTTTAGATATGCCCCTGTATGGTCTGTGTGCACAGTCTTGTTATAGTTGAGCCTTGATTGTTGTTGGTGTCATTGGGAGGAGTTGTTTTCCAGGCCAATTGGCTGTAAGGACCAGCTGCAACTACATTGTAAGAGTTGCTTTTCAGGAGACACCCCTATGAAGCAGGACTTGCTTCAGTGGGGCCTTAGTGTTGAGGCTACCCTTTGAGTGTGTCACTTGTGGATGTATAGAGCTATTGTATAATCTGCTATCATCTGAAGCTATCCACCAGGTGAACTGACTCTAGGGCTCCTGGGAGGTACAAAGTCAGCCACTGTCTGGGGTCACCCAGCAGGAGCTACGGACCTATATGCAGATGGCTGCTACTTGTATTGGGCTTGAAAGTACCCAGGCAAGGCCCAATTTTGAAGTAAGGCAAGCTGGTGGTAGTGCCAAGTTTTGGTCCTTTTGTTAATAGGTATGGGGCAGGATGATGCCAGCTGCTGCTTGTTTGAGAGACTTTAGGAAAATCTGAAGACTAAGCCAGTACAGGCTATTGATATGGAAAATTGCTGCAAACATCTTTGGTGGGGCTGCAAATTGGATAGGGTGGGGTTTTGGGATATCACCAGGGTGGAATGAACAGCATGAGCCAGACTGATATGGCTGCCAGTCAGCTATGCAATGGAGAAAGTCCTAGCACAGGAAGAAGGACCCTTGTGAGCAACCCCATTTAGGAGAAAGCCATCCCTGAGTTACACTCCCCCTGCCAGACAATCCTGTTCCTCCCTGTATTTCTTTGGTTCCCCTGATGCTGCTGCCCAGAGCTGGAGCTCAGAGGAAGTGAGACCGTGTAAGTTCATGTGCCAGCCCTTTAAGAGGAACTGCTTGGGTCTCCAGCAGCCTTCATGTCATTCAGCCACAGCCCCCACTGTTTTTTAAAGCCTAAAATTATTGGGACTTTTCTTCCCAGTAATAGAACCCTGGACTGGGGGTTTGCTATGGGGCTGAGACTCCTTGTTCCTCAGAGGAGGCCTCTGCAGTGGAGATATCCCTCCCAATTAAAAAACACCATACCAATGTTAATCTCATCATCAGTCAGAGTGGCTCCAATAAAATCAAACTGAAAGGACTGCAGAGTCTAAGAAAATTTCTGAATAATCAGTCCCTATGTGGTCTCCACTTTCTATCCTTGGTTATCCCGGTTCTCTCTCTGCAGTGTGTGTGTCATAGCTCCTCGTCATTCTGTTCATTCCACCATTCCGGTTCCCGGGCTTTTATATATATAGATTATGGTAGAAACCCACATATCTAATGATGAGAAGTAATGGTTCGTTGAATAAAAAAAAAAAAATTAAAGAATTTAGAAAACACATGTATTTTGTTTTAGCTAAAGACATATCTTTTATAGTAAAAGGATAATATGCAAATAGACCAAATGGTGGAACGACCAGCCACTATGATGTGCACTGACCACCAGGGGATAGACACTCAACACAGGAGCTGCCCCCTGGTGGTCGGTGTGCCAGAAGCTAGGCTCACAGTTGATGAGCAGTGCTAAGGATGTCCAATTGGTGGCTTAGGCCTATTCCCCCCAAAAGGAGTGGGCCTAAGCCACCAGTCGGATACCTGCCAAGGGCTCCTGGACTGCTAGAGGGCACAGGCCAGGCTGAGGGGATCCTCCCCTCCCCCCAAGTGCACAAATTTCATTCACTGGGCCTCTAGTAAATGTATATTCACTTGTGACTCTTTATGTAAGGTATGAGCTCAATTATAAACCCTTAGTCTTATTGCAAAAAACAGACACCAAGTGCATTACCTATTTTTGTCTGTTAGTCTCTCGTCTATTCCTTTTTCTTTTATTCTCTCATAATTGTCTTGCCCATACTATTTTTTAATAAAAATTTAAAGAATAAAGTTTTAAAGACACAGTTATAAGGCTTTTGCAAACCCCCTACCCTCTCTTTCTTTTCATATTCACATTTCATTGGCTTATGTAAATCACTGTTAAATATAATAAAGGCAAACACATTTGCATAAGCAGGTTAGCAAATAAACACATGCTTTTCACTTTTGTAAGCTTACAACTTAATTGCTGGAACTGGAAGAGCTCCAGCATGACTGAGAGCAGTCCACAGTGGCCAGGGGAGCACACAACAGGACCGTGGCAGCACTGAGTGGGTTAGTTCGATGGCGTTAAGAGAGCGTCAGTTATAGATGGCGAGCTAATAGGAATTAGAACAAGTTTTTGCAGGTATACCCCAAACTCAGAAGTTATTAAAAAGATTGATACATTTGCTTACAAAAGTATTAAAAATATCATACCACCTGAGCCCTCAAAAAGAATAGTCAAAGATCACACCATAAAAAACAGATTTTGCAACATGACTAATTCCTTTAATTTCCAAAATCTCATAATGAATAAAACATCATACAACTTGATTTAAAAATGATAGCAATATGAAATTTAGAAAACAAGAAATACAAGGGGTCAGTAAATATAAAAATCTACTCAATCTTGTAGAATACATAAAAATAAAATGTCTCATTTATAAGGTGAGCAAAAAAATTAAGTATGATAGCAGTTCTAATAAGAATGTGGGGAAACATTCTCATATGCTTTGGCTGGAAGCATAAAGTGGTAGACTCTTCTCTCAGATTAGACAATATTTATTAAAATTTAAAAGTGTAGGTAGGTGTCCTACACTTAGCAACCCCAATGCTAGAAATGTGCCCTATGCGTATATTTGGAGTGATTATTAACAATATTTGTATAAGAATGCTTATACAGCATAAACTAGGAACAAGCCAGGTGTCCATTAAGAAATTAATTCTATGATGGAGTACAGACAGTGATTAAAAATAATGAGGTAGATCTGAATATGCAGATATGGAAATATTCCCAAGATGACAAAGCAAGCTGCAGAATATATTGTACAACCTCTCTGACATTAACGAAATGTGTGTGTACACACAAATGCATGCACGTTTTCCCCCCATAACGAAAGAGCAGAAATTTAACAGAGGTTGCCACTGCTTTGAGGGGAACTATCCTTAGTTGTGGAGAATGTGGCTTTCAGAACTCCTTATGGATCTTCCTTATATTGTTTATATCTTTATAATCATAAATGTTTATTTTTGTCTTTGTAATATAATTTTAATGTAAAAGTATTTAAATATTAATGGATATTTTCTCTAAAAATTATTTCCTTTCAGATGATAAATGGCATGCTTAACTGCACTTGGGAAAGCTATGAAGCAAGCTGACTCAGGAATAGAAATAAAGTTCCTTTATTTTAATTGACAAGGTCTTACATTAGGAATACCGGAGAAGAGGGGCTGGTGTCAGATCATCAGACATTCTTCTAAATGTCTTCTGTTTCCTACACACCCTCTCCCTCCCCCAATACAGCACTGTGTGAGCCAGTAATTCTAAAAATGTAGCACTTAGCATTCTCCTAGTCCCTTCCCATCACTCATTAAATGAACATAAAGCATTGTCAGAGGAGTCCAACAAGAAAAAAACCCCATAAAATAATCTTCAATACTCCTACACTTTAAATTACTAAAGCACATCTTTATTTAGCAATTGAATAATTAAAAGTCACAGCTAGAGTTTTTTTCATGTTTGTATTAATACCTGGACAACTATTTCTCAATCAAATGAAAATGGCCAATAAAATACATGTCACAGCATTTTATATAACATAAGTCATCTTAGGACTAAAACAGTTTCAATGCATTTTAATCCTGTTTGCTGCTAGTATTCTAGGTATTTTACATGAATTAACAGTAGAGGTTATAATTCCACTGATATTAAAACAGATAGCTACACAGGCCTTTCAAGCATTCAGTAAGTTACATGACAAACACAGTGATTTCAAATTACCCAGTGTTGACCAAATTCAAGCTTACACATTAAAAAAACAAAACAAAAACAACCCTAAGCTTCTTTGCCTCTTAATTAGGGGACAAACCCTATTTAGGGAGATATATTTTTGTAGGGTGGGAGAGGAGTTAGTTTAAAAAATTAGGGAGATAATTCCATTTGCTACAAGTTCAGTACAGTGAAATATGAAATGGCAGCAGAAATGTAAAACTATGTTTTAATTAGGAAATAAACTAGACTTTTAAGATACTTTTTGCCCTTTATATTTACATATAGCACCTGTTACAAGAAAACAATTCCAAATTAAAACACCCTTACATAGAATTATAAACACCACCAATGAATATACAGTAAACTACTTGTCATAAAATTAAGCCTACACTGCAGAAAATAAAGAGTAGCTTTTCTTATTGGAAAAGATTACAACATAGATTGTAAGTGCAACGGCACGGCGCTATAGAAACACTGAGTTGGGCAGTTTTAGTTTCTTAAGCACATATATTCGAATGACAGGAAAGTGAAAACAGCTTAATGTAAACTGCCTTCACTCTCTTAAACCTGCCCCTGGACACGTATCTGATGTGTCAGGTTTCTGCCCCCTTCAACTTGTGGTGAAGTTTTGACTTTACCCCTAAGTATAACACAAATCTAAACAAACATATTTATGTAATGTACAAAAATGCAAAGCAGAAATGACTTGGCCGAAGCTAGGTGAGAACTCAGTGTCCAGCAACAACAGTCAACGGGGCAGCCTCTATTGTACTAAATCACAGAGAAGCGGAAAAGCTAAATATCACACAGTTACCTTTTAAATATCAAATGACCAAGAGATCATTAAAAAAGCGAGAGAGGGATCATTGTAAAGCATTTAAACTTGGGTCCAATCCAATGACCTCTACATACTAACCCATTACATTTTTTCCATATTTACAAGACTCCTAGGATATTTTTATATGCATAAATTAAGTCAGTAGTAAGCATGAAATAAAGTGCTCCTATTTGAAATTCAAGGAATCAATTTCAGTATTAAAATATGGCCTACTCTACAGAATACAAGAAAAAATGAAAAATCTTGCCAAATCACTAAAGATGGGGGCAAGAGAATCCCAGAATTGGGTTGAAATTTTCTTGCCCAGGAAGGCAAATAACTGGAACACTAATTCAAAGTAAAAACTAAAAGCTTCTTTTAAGTATAAGGTAAAATGGGCTCAACTGTGACTACAGTAGATTTGGGAAAACCACCAATCAGTGCCTATTGGGACTAAGACTGTAAGCAGGGGTGAGCCCCTTTGATGGCTTTTTGGTGACCATTTCCTTTAGCAGTGTGGCATTTTAAAGTTGTCACAAATAATATCACTAAATTTGGAAACTCCCAGGGTTAAAGGGCCCTGAGACTGATCTTTTAATAACTGTTAACAAAAGTTAATGAAGGAAGAGATCACCTCAGTTGCTCAGGGTACTTCACAAAGACTCAGCTGTGAAAGGGAAAGTAATGATTTTGTTTTACAAGTTGGAGGGTGGAAGCGAGGTGTCAAAAGAATCAAGGCCCCACTGAGTCAAGTTTAATAAGTAACAAATAAATACTACCCTTTAAAGAAATTGTTGAACAAGTCCATCATACCTAAAGATGTTAGCTTAAAATACAAGGGACGAGGGGTGAAGGGGAGGAAGGAAGGGAACTTGGTTGTGTTTTGCTCAGTTGACTTAACCCTTAAACATTTAAGACAAGTCAGAGTTGGGCTTATCTGTATGATACTGAGAATAAAAAGGCAAAACTCTTCGTCAGCGGCCTCTGCACAATTCACCATGCTGGATCTTAGGCATGGTTTTCTGGCTTCATCAGTCAATCTCTCACGGTGATGTCCTCATTGCAGCTGCAGAAGTGACAAAGCCTGAGAACTTTCCTTCATGATCAACAAGTCAGCAGAACGTTTTCCCTCACACGAAATGAACCTTTCACACTGGAGAAATCTAGACTTCAGTTGCATTACATTTAAAAACAGTATGCAAACATTTTCTTGAAAGTTCCTATTCTAGAGCTAAAACAAAGCAAAAATGAAAAAAAAAAGCATATTAATTTGAAATATGCCTCAACAATGACTGCGCTTACTTATTTTGTTAATCTTCACCAGAGGGTATTTTCCCATTGATTTTTAGGGAGAGTGACAGAGAGAGGGAAAGACAGAGAGAAACATCGATGTGAGAGAAACAGTGATTGGTTACCTTCTTCTGCAGGAGCCCTTGACAGGGCCAGAGTTGGGGGAGAAGCCTGAAACCAAGGTATGTGCCCTGGACCGGAATCAAATCCAGGACCTTTTGGTCCTTAGGCTGGCGCTCCATCCACTGAGCCAAACTGGTTAGGGCAATGACTGCTCTTCTTTATAATGAAATTACATTTTCTTCTAAAATTGAATTTTCTGTAATGGAATGGAATACACTCTTCCTTTTCTTTTTAATCCCTCACTGACTTTTTTTTTTTTTTTTTTTAAACCAAAGAGTATCCCTATAATCAAGTCACAATTCTCATAACATTAAAAGATACATTCATTTTTTTTTACAGCATGAGACATACATATCATTTTTCCTTTTTAAACAACAAAGTAAAAGTTAAGTTTCAATCTTTTGCCCATAGAAAAATATTTTCTATATCATTTATACTACAATAGGAAAATTTGACAGTATTTAACTAAAACTTCTATGAGTACAAGGTTTTAAAACGTTTTCATTCCTGTACTTTAAATTTTGAAAGGTTTCAGGAAGTTAAACATTAGGATTTCCCCCTAAAATTGTAGCCTTTAACTTGAACCATTACTAATACCTTTCACTTTGTAAATTTAAAAAAGATCAGCTGACTTATTTAGGTAATGAGCCATTATAGTCAGCGTTGATGAACTGCACCCCAGCAGATACTACTTCTGGCTGCCCATTTAGCGTGCATTACTAAAATGAAAACAATGAATATTAAACTTTAGAAATCAACAGGAAACTGCCACAGAAAAAAACATGCAAATAAATAGCAGCAAATTTAAATAGGAAACAGAAATAACAATTGGTATTTTCACCAAGATTATGGAAATAAAATGTCTAATTTCTGACTGAAATAGGGCTAGTTTTTGATAACATTGAAAGGCTTATTGTAATTGCTACTAAGAATGAAATCTGTATACAAAAAATGGTGTTGATGATAGTTGTAGATATTGTAAAGAAAGCTGAACCCCCAAAATTCAATTTAGAGATTCATTTCACGAGCTCTTTATAAAATTGCTGAAATTATCTATTAGCAGTTAGCCCTAAAATGTTTTATTATGTAAGTGTGTTTCTATGTAACTCTCAAAGAACTTTACAAAATGGTTGCTTGTGTTGTGATCACACTGAGGCACCTATAAATTTTTGTCAATGTATCAGTAATTCTGATATTTGATTCAATTAATCCAGTGGGTTTTAATGAACAGAGCTATTTCACTTGGAGGAAACAACAAACACAAATGCTGCAAGGACAGTGGTGGGATAGTTGAAGCAAACGGGAAGTAAGCAATGTTAATAAAGTCACTTTGTGGATGTGACAATTACATAAAAGCACACTGTGGCATAATTTATCTTGGTCTTGTCATGTTACTAAGAGATGTTTATTCCAACAAATATTTACCATAATGTATTACTCTAAGGGACTTTAAATCAAAATTCACCTGAACTACAAAATAATCACAACAAATGAAAGAGATGTAAACTTACCCCATATTACTGTGGTATAAATAATTTTTATGAATTCAAACCTACTTTGGCAACCTTGCCGTCAGAATATTTTAAACATTCAAAACACAGATATTAAATAGAACACTGTTAAAAATTGTTTCCTTCGTTCTTCCTAGTAAGATTATAAAACAAATAATGCTTTAAAATTCTACTACATGTTCATATTATGCACATAAATTGATTGCAAGTGGAATATATTCTAAATCTTAGTTTTATGTTGTGTTTTTAAATATTAGCCTTCTAATTTGCACTTAGAATGTTTTTACACTGCACATACAGCTTAAATACCTCACAAAAGCTTATGATTTGTCAAGGAAGCATGGCTAGCAAACTGGATCAGGTCCCAATGAGGACCACTTCGAAAAGTCTAGTTATTTTCTAAACTAAGTGACATCAGTGAAATCACTGCTTAAATATAATGCTTGCGCTAAAACCCTAAAATTCATGAGAATTTATGATAATCACACGTTGCCTAAAATAACAGTGAAATTAGATAAAATCTCTAATGTACATAGTGCTGCCAGTGGAAACAGGCTTTTGCTCAAATACCTGATTAGACCTGATCAGACCTGCCAACAAATGATAGACAACTGTACAGTTAAAAAGGAGGCCACACAAAGAAAATCAAAACAGATGCTGCTACTCTGCAACTATTTTGAATGAGTGCACCAGCTAACAAATACTGCCAATCCTTTTTGTGAATGTAAAGTCTATTCCAAAAGATTCCTCATCCTGTGTAGTGAGTGCTGACACAAATCAGATGCTCCAACATACATTTGAGATGAACATCATAAAACCACCGTAAATCAGAGAGGAAAGGTTTTCACAAACATTTCTTAGCCTTTAAAAAAGCCCCTGGTTCACAAATAACTATTTCTACTTGTGAGAGTAACAGTCAATGTTGATTGACTGGGGGTAAAGGGAGGGGGCAGTAGTTTAGATACAAGAAATCTGGCATTTTTATCACTTGATGTTACATGATATGAGTGAAATCTAGACCTACTTGGTGTACCAAAGCTAGGATGATTCTAGAACCCTACATAGATCAATAAGCAGGTTAAAAATTCTTAGGTATAATGGATAAAGTCGTATCTATTGAGTGAACAGGGAAGCATAATTAGCATATTTTAAAATTTAATACCCCAATAAATGTGCCTCTAAAAGCATTTTTTTTGTACATCACAATACTGATAGAGAACACCTCCCAAATGAACAATTGATATATGCGGGACTTAAACACTGGCCTTAACTGTTAAAAAGGGCAGCAGTGCTCATTGCCAACAATTATGAATCTCAGAAGTATAAACATTTAGCCCTAAAGAACATGCCAACCATGCCACTTATCTGTTTATCTCTATACAACTGCATCATTTGTTTTTTAATCATATTCTATCCACATAAAACAGACCAATTTTCTTTTTAATTCATGTGAAAAAACTGCCCTGTTTTTAATTATGTAGACCTGAACATGATTTCACTTTTCAACTGATCATCATATCATATAGCATCCTATATTACATTTACCTGCTGTCAGAGAATGGAATGTTCAAATAAAACTACAGTTTATTTACTCTTATATTGTCTTGACTATAAAATTCAGAAATAGATAAGAGTTTCTCTTAGACATACTGGTTATGTTTACTATTCTTTTTAGAAAACTTAAAATATTTTAATAATAATTTATTTGGTGTCTTGGCTATTAATGATTAGGACTTAACTTCCTAAAATTTATTATTTTGGATTTTGACTATCTGAAAGAACATCATTTAGATTATACTGAAGATTTTAAAATGTACATTTCCCTCCTCATACTAAATGGCATCTTAAAATGTCCTAAATTTTATCAATACTATTCTGAAATATTCAGAAAATACCAGTAAAAGTCAATTTCAACCATAATCCATATAAAATAATTGTGTAATTATAACACTTCAATAGGTGAGCAAATTTCCACTTAAATTAAAATAGCAATTTTAAAATGCTATCTCCCTACAGACTTAAAAATTAAAATAAAAACATCTGAAAAGGAACATATACAAGTCCTAAAAGGGCATCAGGTCCTCCATCAGGCAGGACAGCTAACATTCTCCATGAATTAATATGCTTATAACCTATATGTAAATTGGAGTAACTTAATAATATACAAAAATGACCGGAAAAATCCTCATTTCAGTTACCGAAGGATTTCATTTCAGTAACTGAGGGATTATACTCTGAAACAAGTCAAACAATGTTTTTCATTCCTTGTTTGGAGTATCCTAACTAATAGACTAGTGTGAACAAAATGTGATATGAACTGAAATGAATGCTGAAGAGTAATAATTCCATTAGTAATAGAAATAAGCAACTAACTGGTCTAACCCTAGCTTAGAGTATCAATATGTTTAACTTTAATGTGCATATTAGATGCCATTTCTAAAGTGAGGGATAAAACAAATATAAATTTGAAGAATAAAGCAACTTTTAACTTGAGCTGCTAAACTGTAAGCCTTGTCTTTCAGGAAAGGAATGTGCAGATTTAAACAATTCCATAGCAGCAGAACGCTCTCAGGAGAACACAAATTACCTTTGCTTCCAGTGACAAAATAGAAGGTCTGAGTAAGAAACACTATTTCCTTACCCTTCTTTGACTGCATACCTCTCAATACAAGAAGTTATTTTCAAATGTGAACTGATTAAAAATGTGTAAAGATGTAAGTGTACAGTATAAACACATACCTCCTAGTGAGTCAAATGAGTGCCTCTTCATTAGACATACAAAGATGTCTCAAGGCACTTACGGGGTTAAGACATAATACATGCATTCCTTTATATTAAGTACATGAAATCACATGATTTGGAATAAGCCAACCTTATGGTAAATATATTACATTATTAAATTCAAGAAAATTTGTAGATTCATATTTATATTTTCTGTAAGATGCTGGTAAATGGACAATGTGCAGCATTTCCTGGGAAAAGCAAATTCCACCTTTCTTCTTATGAACAGCAGGTCTCTACAGGGGGAGTGAAGGGAAAGATGTGCTGCATCCATAGGCAGTGTATTGGCTAATATTGAAAATGATATTGCTAAAATTTAAAAAATAAAATCTGGTAATCAAGTAACACAGTAAGTACATGAATCACTGCAAACACCAGAGCTGACTCTTGATGTTTACTTCTTTTTGCTTTCAAAGTACAGGTGTATAACAGAGATGACAGAATTCTGAGTCTTGTTTGTGGCAATTCTTCCAGTAGGGGTCTGCATGGCACCACTACAAAATTTCATAAGTTACCCTGAACATACTCAGTTATTCACTATTTGTTCGAAACAAAGCATGAAATAGTCTTGAAACACATGAATTATAGGTTTTGAGAGTGACTTTTTTAAAACATAAAGTGCAACAGTGCTGAAGTTTTCGGTTTTTGTCAGTTCTTCATTTTTTGTTTAGATGCCATTTCCTGTAAGTAGTATTATGGCACAGTGAATATAATTGGAAAGCAGTTTTCTAACACATACTCCAGATTTTTTGCTTCCTTATTTATTTGATGATGTTGTTAAGGGTTTAACAAATCCTTCTTCATAAACTTTCAAAATAGCTTCACATACAAATCTGTATTGACTCTGAAAAAGAAAGTATGAAAAATAGAACTGATTAGAAAAACTGGAAAATGAAACAAAGAAATAACAAACAAGTCACTTGACTTGCTTATAAAAGAAATACAAAGTAAAACAACACAGGGACACCATTCTTCATGAACAGACTAACAAAAAATAACAGTCTGACAACACATTTTGTTGGAAAAACTCCCTCATGCATTGCTAATATTCCTAGCATTGCCACAATCTCTATGGATAGCAATTTGGCAGCATCTAACAAAATTACATTAATTTATCTATTGACCCAGCAATCCTACTTTTAGGAATCTACCAAAGGTAAACTAGAAAAAGAAATTGAAAACATATATTCATAAGTGAGGCTATTATGTTATTTATAATAATTAAAAAGTAAAAGTGGCCCTAACCGGTTTGGCTCAGTGGATAGAGTGTCAGTCTGTGGACTGAAAGGTCCCAGGTTCAATTCCGGTTAAGGGCATAAACCTTGGTTGTGGGCACATCCCCAGTAGAAGGTGTGCAGGAGACAGCTGATCAATGCTTCTCCCCCTATATGTTTCTAACTCTCTCTCCCTTCCTCTCTGTAAAAAATAAATAAAATATATTAAAAAAAAAAAAGTAAAAGCGATCCACTCCCCATCAGGAAGGGGCTGTGAGTAATCTGCGGCACACCCTCACAGTGGATACAATGTAGTGGGGGAGGGAGAAAAGTCTAAAGGCCAGAAGGATTCCAGTATATGTTAAGTAAAAACAGCAAGGTAAATAAAACGGCACATAATATTTTATTTTATAAAAGAAAGGAGGATATAAACATCTCTCTCAATATATGGGGTGGGGTAAGTGTAGCTTTACAGTTGTGAGCACACAAAACACAGGATTTATTCTTGTATTATAAAAGCAAGGGAAGGATACTAGTATTAGGTCTAGTAATAATTAATGTCGTTTTCTAATACTTTCTTAAATCGAATTTATTTAAACAATACAACAAAATTTAATCAACAATATAGTTGCCGTTGTTTTCTACTACTTGTGCCCAATGCTCAGGAAGCATTTTAATCCCTCTGTTGTAAAATTCTTGTGATTTTGATGCAAAAAATTCGGTCAATGCATTTTTGAGGCATTCTTCATTATTAAATTTTTTTCCAAGAAGAAAGTTTTGCAAAGAACGAAACAAATGGTAATTGGAAGGGGCAATATCAGGAGAATATGCAGGTTGAGGGAGAACTTCCCATTCCAACTGGCGCAGTTTTTCAGCAGTGATTCTTGCAGTATGCGGCCGTGCGTTATCGTGGTGAAGAATTACGCCCTTCCGATTAATCAGCGCGGGTTCTTTTTCTCCTAAAGCTTGGGCTAACCTTTCCAATTGGGCACTACACACTGCACTTGTAATGGTTTGGGTAGATGGTAAAAGTTCATAATGAAGAATTCCTTTAAAATTCCACCAAACACACAACATCACTTTTTTCGCATGCAAGTCAGGTTTTGGCGTGGGCTGCGGAGCCTCATTTTTGTCCAACCATTGAGGCTGCCTTTTCAAATTAACATACAGCACCCATTTTTCATCTCTGGTGACAATTTGCTCTAAAAACGGCAAACGGTTTTGACGAGAGAGGAGCGAACTGCAAATTGTGACTCTTTGATTACGGTTGTTGTCGGTCAACTCATGAGGAACCCATTTTCCAAACTTTTGGACTTTGCCAAGTGCACGCAATTGATTGGAAATTGTTTTTTGTGAACAATTTAAAGTCGTCGCAAGCTCTTGTTGGGTAATTTGAGGATTTTGCACCAAAAGAGCTTGAAGAGCTTCTTGATCAAAATTGGACACACGGCCTCGACCACTCTTGTCATCTAACAAAAAATTTCCCTCGCAAAATTTCTCAAACCAACGCTGGCATTTTCTGGCGCTAACTGCATCTTGACCAAGAGCACTACAGATGTTTTTTGCAGCCTCACTTGCTTTTCTTCCTAATTGGAACTCGTAAAGCATGCAGTGCCGAATATGCTCTTCATCCGCCATCTTCTTAGCCCTAGTTTTGCAACAAAAACCAAACCAAACACAAACTTTTTCAAGCAAAACCTGTTAATTGCACTTCACACGTTCTGTAGATACCACGAGTTTGAAGGTTATGTCAATACAAGTCAACGCCAAGCAAGATTTTAAATGAATGTTAAAAAAACGACATTAATTATTACTAGATCCGATATATCATTAAAAAACGATTTCCTATAAAATAAAAAAAAATAAGGTTCATGAGAAGGCTAGAGACTAGACTTCATTGAATACATTTCCTTCTTTTACAGATTTTACTTTGGAACCATATAAATATAACCCATAATTAAACCATTAATTTAAAAAAATCAAAAAATTGAAAATAACATGAAACAAATCAATGTGTATATCTAGCTGATGGCAGAACTAAACAGAAAGGAGCTATCGCAAGGGACTTTAAAACAGTAATTTGACTGTATATCTTTTGTAGAATATACCCAAAAAGCAAAAAGAACTGTAGAAAAATTTTAAGTTATTTTCAGTAATCATACTGTCTGTGGTAGTTGTGTTAGTTTAGTTGTTCTGAGATTGTTCTTGTGTAATCAAATTAAAACAAATGGGTATTTGCGATATTCTAAGTCTTTCATTGCTGGTGTTGCAGAGAACCAGCATTTTTGTTAAAGAAGAAAGGTGGTAAAGATGTAAGGTAGAAGACATTAAGTAAAAACTGAATTTGTATTGGAAGCACCAGTACTAATTCATAAGTTTGTTTTCCTACTTCTGGCTATTGAAGATTTCTATAGACAAATACCAACACTAACCCCAAAGCAATGGGAAACCTTAGTGCTCACAGGTGCTCCCTAACATAATTTTTCAATAAAAAGAACCAGTACTTTTTGGAGAAATTGCAGACTCTAAGTTTGGGGCAGGAAGTGTACAAAGCTAGACAGGTAGGTCCCTCTGACCAGCCTGCGGGGATGAGGCTGAAACCAGCTCTGCACTGTCCCCCTGGGGTCTGGACTATGAGAGGGGAGTTCTCGGGTGACACAGCCTGCTACTGGGGCTTGTGGGGAAGGCAACCAATCAACGTCTCTCTCACATTGATGTTTCTCTCTCTGTTTTTTTCCTCCCTCCCTTCCATTCTCTCTAAAATCAATGGAAAAATATCCTCGGGTGAGGATTAATAAAAACCTAAAAAACAAAAACAAAACTGCTGCAGAATGTCCAATTACCAACATAACCAATTACCATGAGAAATGTGGTATGATCATGTGCTAATCACTCGCTAACCATTGTTTATGAGCAGTGACTCTTAGATTTAAATATGTAGACTACAGTTGTAGATATATAATATTTACTTTTATTTTTAAAAAATATATTTTATTGATTTTGTACAGAGAGGAAGGGAGAGAAACAGAGATTTAGAAACATCGATGAGAGAAAGTCATTGATCAGCTGCCTCTTGCACACCTCCTACTGGGGATACGCCCACAATCAAGGTACATGCCCTTGACCGGAATCGAATCCGGGACCCTTCAGTCCCCAAGCCGACGCTCTATTCATTAAGCCAAACCGTCTCGGCTGTAATATTTATTTTTGTCAGTGAAATACTAGTGTTTTTCCCAACATACGATTTATTCACTAAAATTTGTTAGTAGTAACAGTGGGAGAAACCAATATGGTGGTATAGGTAAACACCTGAAATTGCTGCCTTGCACAACCACTTCAAAACTACAACTCGCTGGCTGAGTGGAAATTCTACAACTAGAAGGAAAGAGAAAAGCACACTGAGACTCAGAGGAGGTGCGGGAGTAAGCTGCAGAGGTACGAAGGCGTGCACTCGGAAGGGCTGGCAACTGAGTATGCAGTTGTCTTTTTCAATTGGGAGAGAGACAAAAGCTCCCGACTGCTCTGAACTCCAGTTCCGGGTGAGACTCTGGGAACCCAGGCTCATACAGGGAGAAACTGGAGTGTCTGGCATCGGGCGGAACTCGAGAGCAGCTTTCTCTCAGAGGTGCTTGCAGCGATTACCTTGGGACACTAAGACCTGGGCCTCTTATGACAGGGCTGAGGATCAGCCATAGCTGTTTGCTCCGCCCTGTTTATTCCCTGAGACCTCGCCCCACCCAAGATGTGCACAGAGGCCTTTGCATATGAATGGCCTGGCAATTTGCAATCTAAAATTACCTAACAAACTGCAGCTGGGTGAGAGAGACCCAGAACATCCAAAAGAAGGCCCAAGGCCACATAGCAGCATGCATCTGGGCACCTCCAAACCCCAAACAAAGAAGAGGAATCTGCAGATCTCTCTGTTGCTCTTGCTGGGTGGCCTCAGGTAGAGGCTAACAGCACCTCCTTAGAGATCCAAGAGCCAGTGTATCCAGTGGACAGAGTGAAACCATCCAGATTACAACTCAGATCCATAAGGGACACACTCAGGGGCAGACTCAGTGAGCACCAAAGCCCCACTGAAGCAAGTCCTGCCCCATAAGGGTGTCTCTAGCACAGAAGTTCTCCCATCATAGATACAGCTGATTCTCACAGCCAATTGGCCTGGAGGTCAATTTCTCCCAGTGATGCCAACAACAGTCAAGGCTCAACTACAAAAGACTGTGCACACAGCCCACAAGGGGGGCACCAAGAGTGTCCACCTCAGGTAACAATGGAGGCTAAGCCACTGGGCCCTACAAGACACCTAACACACAAAGGAAAGCAGCCAAAATGTGGAGACAAAAAAACATGTCACAAATGAAAGAAATGGAGGAAAGCAAACTATTGGACATAGAGTTCAAAACCACAGTTATAAGGTTACTCAAGAATTTTCTAGGAACTGTCAATAAATTTAGCCAGATCCTCGAGGATAGGAAAAAGGACCAACTAGAAAATTAAGTATACGCTGACTGAAATAAAGAATAATATATAGAAATTCAACAGCTGACTAGAGGATTGCAAGAATCAAGTCAAAGATTGAAATACAAAAAAGCAAAAAACACCCAACCGGAAAAGCAAAAAGTATCCAAAAATATGAAGACAGTGTAAGGAGCCTCTGGGAAACCTCAAGTGTACCAACATCTGAATTAAGGAGGTGCCAGAAGAAAAGAGAGAGAGCAAAATATTGAAGACCTATTTGAAGTTAATGACTGAAAATTTACCTCACCTGTTGAAAGAAATAGACTTACAAGTCCAGGAAGCACAGAGAATCCTCAAAAAAAAAAAAAAAAAAAAAAAAAAAAAAAAAAAAAAGGAATCCAAAGAGGACCACACCAAGACACATCATAATTAAAATGTCAAGAGCAAAATACAAAAAGAGAATATTAAAAGCAGCAAGAAAAGCAGTTAGTTACCTACAAGGGAGAACCCATACGACTGTGAGCTGATTTCTCAAAAGAAACTATGCAGGCCAGATGGGAGTGATAAGAAATATTCAAAGTGATGAACAGCAAGAACCTACAACCAAGATTACTTTACCTAGTAAAGCTGTCATTCAGAATTGAAGGTCAGATAAAGAGCTTCACAGATAAGAAAAGGCTAAAGGACTTCATCAACACCAAACCAGTATTATATGAAATACTGAAAGGTATTCTTTAAGAAGAGGAAGGAGAAGAAAAAGGTGAAGATAAAAATTATGAACAACAAATACATGTCTATCAACAAGTGAATCTAAACATCAAGTGAATAAAAAATCATGAACAGAATAAACAGAATCAGGTGCATAGAAAGGAAGTGGATTGACAATTCTAGGGGAGAAAAGGGCATGGGGGTGCGGGAAGAGATTGGACAAAAATCGTATACCTATGGATGAGGACAGTTCGGGGGGTAAAGTAGAGGGTGGGGTGGGAACCAGGTGGAGGGGAACTAAGGGAGGGGAAAAAGAGGAACAACTGTAATAATCTGAATAATAAAGATTTATTTTTAAAAAAGTAAAAGTGAATTATTAACAAAAAAAAACTTTGTTAATTTAATTGTAAGCAAATCTTGGTTAAAAGCATTTTGAAATTAACAGGATATTAATTTTCACATATGTCATATGGACTGGAAATTTTGTCTGTTAACTTCAAGGTCTGTTAAATTGATATCTGCAAATGAGAGTTTACTGTACAGAGAAAACTACCTTGGAATGCAATCAGCAAAATCCAGACTGGGAAACTATGTAGCACAAACCACCTGCTTTGTTCATCAAATAAATGGTAAGAAACAAACAAACAAGAAAAGATGTTTGTGGAAATTATAGATTAAAAGATTTTGGAGATGTATAAACTAACCAAAATGTGTGAACCACATCTGGAACCTGATTTTACATACAATGTAAAAACAAAAACAAAACACATTAAGTATGATATGATCCAGCAATTTGACTTCCATGCATATATCCAAAAAAAATTGAAAGCAGGATCTCAAAGAGATATGCATGTACTTCTATGTGCACAACAGCATTATTTGCAATCACCAAGAGGTAGAAACAATGTCCACTGACATGTGAGAGGATAATCAAAATGTGGTCTATACACACAATGAAATATTTTTAGCCTTAAAAGAAAGGAAATTCTGACACATGCTAACACCTGGATGAACCTCAAAGATATTATGCTAAGTGAAATAAGCCAATTAAAAAAAAGACGAAACCTATATAATTGTACATATATGAGGTATCTAGAAAGTCAAATTCATAAAAACAGAAAGTAAAATGGAGGTTACCAGAAACTGGAGGAGAGAGAATGAGGAGTTGTTGTTTAAGGGGTAGATTTTAGTTTACAAGATGAAAAAGTTTTAGAGATTGGCTATCTAACAGTGTGAATATATTCAAGGCTACTGAATTGTACACTTAAAAATTGTTGTTTTATGTTGTGTACTTTATCACAATTAAAAATAAAAAAATACATTATGTCATTATGTGTGAATATATTCAAAAACCTCTAGGAAATACTAGCAAATCAAATGAAGCAACATACTAAAAGAATTATATACTATCTTCAAGTAAGATTTATCCCAGAAATGAAAAGTTAGTTTAATATCCCCAAATCAATCAATGTAATATACAGTAATAGAATGAAATACAAAATCCACATGATCATCTCAATAGACCCAGAAAAAGCATTTGACAAAATTATTTACCTTCTCATGATGAAACACTCAATAGTCTTGTAACAGGAAACTTTGTCAACTTGATAAAGAATATTTTCGTAAAACCCTTTAAATATTATGCTAATTTTAAAAAGCCAATTATAAAGACCAAACTATATGAATTCATTCATATGAAAGGTCTAGAATAGGTAAACTTATAGAGACAAAGTAGATGAGTGGTTGCCTAAGGCTGGGCCAGGTGAGACTGGGAAGGTATTAAGGAAGATAAGTTTCTTTTTGGGGGTGATGAGACATTCTAAAATCAGATAGTAATGAAGATTGTAAAACTCTGTGATTACTAAAAACAACTGAACCGTAGACTTTAAAAGGGTAAATTTTATGGTATGTGAATTACATTTTAATAGTTATTCTAAAATTTACAAACCATGAGCTATATGAGACAACTGAAAGTTTGAATACTGTTATTTGATAATATTAATGTTAATTATACTTGTATGATACTCATATTGTGATTTTGTTTAGAAGGAAAAATACTCCTTATCTATTTGGGATACACATTAAAATATTATAGATAAAATTATATGACATCTTGATTTGCTTCAAATATGGAGAGAGTGGCAGTATAGATGAAACAATATGGCAAATGTTGCTGGATCTGAGTACTCAACATAGTGTTGATTATATTGTTTACTTGTGTATATTTGAAATTTTTTATAATAAAAAGGTAAAAACAAGGCATTTACTAGGATATATGTCAATTCACTGTAGTAAGTTTAATGCTAACATTCCACAATGGCTTATTATAAAAAGTTATCTTAGCACTAACTCTAAAACTCCATAATTCCCGTGAACTTGAAACATTATTCAGAGTCAGTGTGGAATTTCTATGATTTTTGTTGTTGCAATTTAAATGCTTATCTAAAAGAGAAAGGCATTTTGCCACAGCTGTGTCACAGAGCAGGCCTATCATAGTCTCCAGGTCAGGGACACTCTCATTCTCAGCATTCCCCCTGACTAAGTAATCTAGAGCAGGTTCCTCTGAGCCTGTCTAAACACTCAGAAATTATGCAGGAGTGGTGTTGACAAACATTTCCTGTAAAAGACCAGATAGTAAATATTTTAGGTTTTTCAGAGCATATGGTGTCTGTTGCAACTTCTCAACTTTGCTATTAGAGTGTGAAAGCAGCCATAAGTAATATAAATACAAATAAACATGGCTGTATTCCAATAAAACTCTATTTACAAAAACAAGTGGCAGGCCAGACTTGGCTCATAGGCATTATTCGACAAACTCCTGTGTAAGGAGTTATTAGCTCCTGGCAGGATATTAAAAAGCTATGAATATGGTTCAGAATATACACTGATAACAAAAATCATCATGTTGAGAATGCCTGAGGTACAGTACTTACAGGTGTCTGGATCATCATGGCTCGTTGATCTCTCATTGTTCTTACAATGTCTAGTGGATAAACTGGTTGATTGCATTCAATGAGACACATGGCTGTTTCCATAGTAATAAGAACCCCAGTTCTTCCAATCCCAGCACTGAAAAAGGCAAATATGGGGCAAGGATACTATTCTGTTAAACTTCTGTGGATTTTGTGTAGAAAATTAAAGTTTTGAATCATAAAACAGAACAATTTGATTTAATGTTTAATATTAGGAAAGTAGCAAGCCAACTAGAAATTTTGAAAATTGATAAAAATTTCATACAATACAGATTAAAATGGTTTATATCAACACCATCCCCCCATTATTAGCTGTAAAAAATACTATTTTAAAAGTTACATTTCAGTTTTTAAAATATGAACAAGATATAAAAGCTTATTGGAGCAACTTCACTTTAAAATGAAAAATAAAAGTGGAAGGGATCCAAGATGACAATGGAGTAAGTAGAAGATACACCCAGGACCTAATTGGAAGTAGAAGCAAAATACAGAATTATCAACCTGAATGGCCAACTGAAGTCTAGCTGAATAGAAGGCTTATAACCAAGAATTTACAAAAGAAGCCAATGGAGACTGGTAGGAAGTGCAGAGGTGTGAAAAGGGCTGGCCCCAATTCCACAGGCAGTGGCTGAGGTTCTGGAGGAATATCTCAGCTGCAGAGTGTTTCCCCTGATAAGCATGGGATCTGAAATCCAACCCTGGCTCCCCAGCCCAAAGCACCAGAGCCTAGAGGAGGCGCACATATTACATCTGGTTGTGAGTGGCAGTGGGATTTCTGTTCCCACCAGGGAGAGATCGAGTCCATGGAGAGCACTAAAAAACTCAGGAGCAGTCTTAAATGGCCAACACACATAATTTTGTTCATAGCCACTCACCCTAGCTCTTGCCACTCATGCAGGGAGGGCAGAATAGATGAGTCATGTGAGGAGAGACTGGGGTTTGTGGCTCTGGGGACAGAGCTGAGGGAACAATTGCCAGGACCCCCTGTGCTAAGTCACTGTACTGCATGCAGACACCATCTTTCTTGGGTGCAACATGCCTCTCCATGCAGCATCGCTTGGGGAAAGCAACTGCCCCACCATCTGGTCTTCCTGTTGAACCACCCTATGGAGCTCCTGCTCTGCTAAGGATTCAATCAATGGCTTGGGCAATGAGCGGTCTGGCAAATTCAAGGGATGTCAGTGATTGAGTTGTATGACTTAGCGGTGGGGGCCGTTACCTGCCCTCTTTCCTGTGATCCTGACCGGCACCTTCCCCTCACGTAGATCCTCTAGCCCCACTCACTAAGCTCCTGGAGGTCCCACCCTCTTGACTCTTAGTGGTTCCAACCTGCTGAGGTCTGGGCAGAATCCAGGACAGTCTGAATCGTGTGGCTCTGGGGTAGGGTCTAAACCCTCCAACTTCCCCCAAACCTTATAGTACCACCCCATCTCTTGACTCCCAGTGACCCCTTCCTGCTGAGATCAGGCTCTGGCAGAATCTGGGGCAGACTGAGTTGCAATGGCTCTAGGACAGAGGAAATTTTTCCCTTCATTTTCTCGATTGGTGCACACCTTCCCTTCACACAGCTAAATCTTGGTCTGTTTAGCCCACTAAACTCTGCTGGCCCCATCCTGACGACTGCCAGAGACCCTGCTCTACAACCAAGGTATGGGAGTACCCTGTGGGTGGCAGCTAGACTTTGTATATCCTGGGACACATGCTGAGTGCTCTCAGGCCCAACACTGGCACCAAGATTGAACCAGTATAGCCCTGGTCTGTGTGGTTTAGTTGTTTGGAGAGTTGTTCCATGCACCAGAAGGCTGCAGGTTCAATTCCCAGTCTGGGCACATACTAGGTTGTGGGTTCGATCCCCAGTTGGGACACGTAAGGGAGGCAACCGATGTTTCTCTCTTTCTCCATCCCTCTTTAAAATAAAAAATAACCACAATGGGACATTGTTTTTTTTTTTTTTTTTTTAAAGGTTAAAGCCCTATAGATCTGGAGAACTCTTCTCACCTAGTGACTGACTTAAAACCTACTGCATGCAACTTAAGAACCCCCCGAGGCTCTTACAGTGACTGAGCCTAACAGGTACCTGGCAGGAGGAAGTAGGCAGAGGTAGATCTTAAGGTTCCTAGGGATTTTTGCTGACATACCCCTACACCCAGTACAGGTAAAAGTGAGTCTTGGTGCAGAGCTTGATCCTCCAACACACACCTAAGTCCAGAGGAGGCAGCCACAAACTGTGGATCACTCTGTAGTTCCAAACAGGTTGCCCAGGGCTAATCATAGGCAGCTTCTGACATTGACCTGCACCAGAGTCCCTCCCAAGAGGCCCCATAACAAGCACACACAGTGGCCAGCTCCAGACAACACCAGAGAGGATTCATTTAGCTTCATAAGTAGCATATCCAAAGGTAAGTCTTGGTAGGCAGCAAACCCTGCTGAAGTGAATTCCACTTCATGTGGTCAGCATCTGCACGGCAGCTCATACTGTGGTTAGGGTTGATCTTCACAGTCAGCCAGCCTGAGGGTTGACCCCACACATGAACTGGCCAAATAGCAATCAAGAATCAATTACAATAGGAGGGCTTATCCTGTGATGGTATTGGGTAGGGCCATTCCAAGAGAGGTGAGAGAGCTCACTAAATGTGGTAAGAGGGGCCAAAGGCCAGCAAGGAGTACCTTGCTGGGTGGGGGAAAACTAGATCTAATGCTTACATTATTGTATTTCATCAAGTCTAAGATAGCACCAATTGTATAACAAATCTCATTTTCAGAGATGTAAAACTGTAAAAATGACAAGCTTCTAACTCAGTGTAATAAAATATTTTTACTTCTTATGATAAACTTTCTGCCAGTCACATTGGAACATACCCTCTGCTTTCTACCTTCAGAGAACAGTTATGAGTTCGTTCTAACTATAGTGAAAGTCACAATTTAAGAATAAAATAATACTCCCCTTTAAAAATGCCAGCTATTTAAGCATAAAAGACAGAAAAAAAAAATACCTGCAATGAACAACAACAGGTTCTTCCTTGCCGGCCCTCTTATTTCGTACATGACAAACGAAGTTCAGAAAGTCACTGGAATCATCAGGGACACCATGGTCAGGCCAGGCTGTATACTGGATCTGAATGAGTTGACGACTCTCATTTTTCTAAGTGTAAAAGAAAAATTATGCACTTTAATTTAGAAATTATCTTTAAAATATAAATGAATATTCATATCATTTTAATTTTAGAAGTAAAAGAAACTACTCCTACTACCTCTCCCCAAAGTAATAAATATGCACAATAAAACTCAAAATTTCAATAAAAAAGAAAAACATTTTATTTTATTTATTTATTTTTAATATATTTTTTATTGATTTTGTACAGAGAGGAAGGGAGAGAGATAGAGTTAGAAACATTGATGAGAGAGAGTCATCGATCAGCTGCCTCTTGCACACCCCCTACTGGGGATATGCCCACAACCAAGGTACATGCCCTTGACCGGAATCGAACCCGGGACCTTTCAGTCCCCAAGCTGATGCTCTATCCATTGAGCCAAACTGGTCTCCGCAAGAAAAACATTTTATAGAAACAGTTGTATCCATTTCAGTATCCATTACTTGGATCATTCCTCTTCTTATAACTCAATTTCTATATTTGTAAAGTATGTTCAAGATGATAATCAAGTAAACAGACAAAGACAAGTTCTAGAAAAACATTTAAAGAAAACGAAAGAACTGTTGGATGAACAAATATGGCAAAATCAAAACATTTTTTATAAACAAAGTTGAGCTAATTCTAAAAATAAGTGAAATCATGGAAATCAGGAAAATAATTTTTCAAGATAAATGTAGATTAAAAACTGAAGATCAAAAAAGTCGGGGCTTAATTCTTTTTGCCCCGAGGAGTTGGTAGAAAAGAGAAAAAAATTTTGGATTTATACATCTTGACTCTGTCTGTTAAGGTATTTTATTTTATTTTTTATCTTTTTATTTTTATTTTTAATTAATTTATTTTTTTAATATATTTTATTGATTTTTTTGCCCCCCCCCCCCTCCCTCCCACCCATCCCCTCCCTCCCCAGAGTTTTGTGTCCATTGGTTGTACTTATACGAATGTATAAAAGTCCTTCGGTTGATCTATTATCTCCCCCAGATCTTCCTCCCCTCCCTGCTGTAATTTGACACTCTACTTGTTGATATACTGTCTCTATATCTATCTTTTGGTTCATCAGTTTATAATGCTCTTTATTATCAACAAATGAGTGAGGTCATGTGGTGTTTCTCTTTCATTGATTGGCTTATTTCACTCAGCATGATGTTCTCCAATTCCATCCAGGTTGCTGCAAATGATGAGAATTCCTTCTTTTTTATGGCAGCATAGTATTCCATTGTTTAGATGTACCATAGTTTTTGGATGCAATCATCTGCTGACAGACACTTAGGCTGTTTCCAAATTCTGGCTATTGTAGATTGTGCTGCTATGAACATAGGGGTGCATATATCCTTTCTGATTGGTGTTTCTAGTTTCTTGGGATATATTCCTAGAAGTGGGATTACTGGGTCAAATGAGAGTTCCATTTTCAGTTTTTTGAGGAAACTCCACACTGTTCTCCACAGTGGTTGCACCAGTCTGCATTCCCACCAGCAGTGCACGAGGGTTCCTTTTTCTCCGCAACCTCGCCAACACTTGTCGTTTGTCGATTTGTTGATGTTGGCCATTCTGACAGGTGTGAGATGATACCGCATTGTTGTTTTGATTTGCATCTCTCGGACAATTAGTGACTTTGAGCATGTTTTCATGTGCCTTTTGGCCTTCCTTCTGTCTTCTTTTGAAAATGTTCTATTTAGGTCCATTGCCCATTTTTTAATTGGATTATTTATCTTCCTTTTATTTAGTTGTATAAGCTGTTTGTAGATGTTGGAGATTAAACCTTTATCATGGTATCATTTGCAAATATGTTCTCCCACACTGTGGGCTTTCTTGTTGTTTTGTTAATGGTTACTTTTGCTGTAAAAAAGCTTTTTATTTTGATGTAGTCCCATTTGTTTATTTTCTCTTTAGCTTCCATTGCCCTAGGGGTAGTATCAGTGAAGAAGTTCTTTTGGCATACGTCTGAGATTTGCTGCCTGTGGATGCTTCTAGTATTTTTATGGTTTCCCGTCTGATGTTTAAGTCCTGTATCCATTTTGAGTTTATTTTTGTGAATGGTGTAAGTTGGTGATCTAGTTTCATTCTTTTGCATGTGTCTGTCCAATTTTCCCAACACCATTTATTGAAGAAACTGTCTTGACTCCATTGTATATTCGTGCCTCCTTTGTCAAATATTAATTGAGCATAGTGATTTGGATTGATATCTGGGTGCTTGATTTGATTCCATTGATCTATATGTCTGTTCTTGTGCCAGTACCAGGCTGTTTTGAGAACAGTGGCTTTGTAATATAGTTTGAAGTCTGGTATTGAGATCCCTCCTACTTTACTCTTCTTTCTCAGGATTGCTGTGGCTATTCAGGGTCTTTTATTGTTCCAAATGAACTTTTGGAGAGTTCTTTCTAGGTCGGTGAAATATGTCGTTGGTATTTTAATGGGGAGTGCATTGAACCTATAGATTGCTTTAGGAAGTATGGACATTTTGATGATGTTGATCCTACCAACCCATGAACATGGTATGTTCTTCCATCTCCTTCCATCTTCCTCTATCTCTTTTTTCAGTGTCGTGTAGTTTTCCGCATATAGGTCCTTTACTTCCTTAGTTAAATTTATTCCTAGGTATCTTAATTTTTTTGGTGCGATGGTAAATGGAATTGCTTTTTTAGTCTCTGTTTCTGCAGTTTCTCTGTTGGTGTATAGAAAAGCCATGGATTTCTTGGCATTAATTTTGTATCCTGCTACATTGCCAAATTCATTTATTAAGTCAATTAGTTTTTTAATGGAGTCTTTTGGGTTTTTTATGTACAATATCATGTCATCTGCAAATAAGGATAACTTTACTTCTTCTTTTCCAATTTGGATGCCTTTTATTTCCTCCTCTTGTCTAATTGCAATGGCTAGTACTTCCAGTACTATGTCAAACAGGAGTGGTGAGAGTGGGCATCCCTGTCTTGTTCCTGTTCTTAGAGGGAATGGTTTTAGTTTTTGCCCATTGAGTATAATGTTGGCTGTGGGTTTATCATATATAGCTTTTATTATGTTGAGGTATGATCCTTGTACTCCCACCTTGTTAAGAGTTTTTATCAGAAAAGGGTGTTGGATTTTATTGAATGCTTTTTCTGCATCAATTGATATGACTATATGATTTTTATCTTTCAATTTGTTTATGTGATGTATCACGTTTATTGATTTGCGGATATTGTACCATCCTTGCATTCCTGGAATAAATCCTACTTGGTCGTGGTGTATGATCTTTGTGATGTTCTTCTGGAGTCCATTTGCTAGAATTTTGTTGAGGATTTTGACATCCATGTTCATGAGGGATATTGGCCTGTAATTCTCTTTCATTGAGTTGTCTTTATCTGGTTTAGGTATTAGGGTGATGCTGGCTTCATAGAAGGAATTTGGAAGTGTTCCTTCCTCTTGGATTTTTTGGAATAGTCTGAGGAGGATAGTTTTTAGTTCTTCCTTGAATGTTTGGTAAAACTCTCCTGTGAAGCCATCTGGCCCTTGGCTTTTGTTTGCTGGAAGCTTTTTGATGACTGTTTCAATTTCTTCCCAAGTCACTGGTTTATTGAAATTTTTAGATTCTTCCTGATTGAGTTTTGGAAGATTATATTTTTCTAGGAATATGTCCATTTCCTCCAGATTGTTCAGTTTGTTGGAGTAGAGTTGTTCATAGTATTTTGTAACAATCCGTTGTAATATTTCGGTGGGGTCTGTTGTTATTTCACCTCTTTCATTTCTGATTTTGTTTATTTGGGTCTTCTCTCTTTGTTTCTTGGTTAGTCTGGCTAGAGGTCCATCTATCTTGTTTATCCTTTCAAAGAACCAGCTCTTGGTTTTGTTGATCTTATGTATTGTTTCTTTGGTCTCTCTGTCATTTATCTGTGCTCTGATTTTTGTTATTTCCTTCCTTCTACTTACACTGGGCTTTTCTTGTTGCTCTTTTTCTAACTCTATGAGTTGTAGAGTTAGATAATTTGTTACACTTTTTTCTAGTTTTTTGCAATAGGCTTGTAAGGATATGAACTTCCCTCTCAAAACTGCTTTTGCTGTGTCCCATAGATTTTGGATTGTTGTGTTTTCATTGTCATTTGTTTCCAGGATGTTTTTAATTTCTTCCTTGATTTCTCTGGTAACCCAGTCCTTGTTTAATAGCATGCTGTTTAGTCTCCATGTGTATGATTTCTTTGGATTATTTTTATTGTAGTTAATTTCCAGTTTTATGCCATTATGGCCTGAGAAGATGCTTGATATGATTTCTATCTTCTTGAATTTGAAGAGACTTTGCCTATGTCCCAAAATGTGGTCTATCTTTGAGAATGTCCTATGTGCACTTGAGAAGAATGTATATTCTGTGGCTTTGGGGTGCAGTGTTCTGAAGATGTCAATTAATTCCATCTGGTCTAGTGAGTCATTTAGGATTGATATTTCTTTGCTGATTTTTTGTTTAGATGATTTGTCGAAGGGTGACAGTGGGGTATTAAAATCTCCTACTATGATTGTATTGCTGTTAATCTCTCCCTAATGACCTCTAGCAGTTTTTTTTATGTATTTGGGTGCTCCCGTATTGGGTGCATATATATTTACCAGGGTTATTTCTTCTTGTTTGATTGCTCCCTTTAGTATTATGAAGTGGCCTTCATTGTCTCTTGTTATGTCCTTCACTCTGAGATCTAATTTGTCAGATATAAGTATTGCTACCCCAGCTTTCTTTTCATTTCCATTTGCCTGGAAAACCTTTTTCCATCCCTTCACCCTCAATCTGTGTGCATCTCTTTTTCTGAGGTGGGTTTCTTGTAGACAACAGATGTATGGGTCTTGTTTTCTTATCCAATCTGTTACCCTATGTCTTTTGATTGGAGCATTTAAACCATTTACATTTAATGTTATAAATGATAGGTACTCATTTGATGCCATTTTTAATCTATACCCCTGTGTTCCTTCTTTGCTTCCTATTTCTTTATTTTTACAGTAGACCCTTTAGCATTTCTTGCATTGCTGGTTTGGTGGA